CAAATACAAGTAAATTGTAGATCTGTCGGGTTAATCTACGCCACGATGAGATAGCGATTCGGTAAGCAAACACGTCGAGCAGCGAGTGTGAGGTATCGTGTAGGAGGAAATAACCGCGAGACAAACGGATAAATTGCATCGAGCGCAAATTTGCGTGGCTAATTAGCGCGTTGTTTAAGAAATCGCAAACAATCTACGGGACTGCTAAAACATCTGGATTGGTAGATGTCGGGAGCAAAAAGCCCGCAAGATCTCGGATCGTTTGGTTTAAACTGGACAGGTGTCAGATGGCGTCTAGAGCTGGCTTTGCCTGCGAGGCAGATGGGATACCGGAATTCGTGTTTTGTAGCTGGCATTTTGTTCTTTCGGTGGAAAAAGATGCGACTGTTTTTATCCACTCGTGATAACGCAGCGCTCTGTCTCGGATCGATCGGAATTTCCCGCGTTAAGCGTAACGGGACTAGCGGCCGGCAGATGGCAGTAGCGCCAGCTAATGGAGGCCGGCTTTAGTTTTATCGTCGGACGCTCGGCTACGAAGTTTTGCCCGCTTTTGCGATAAGGTTGCAGCGTGAATGGCACTTAGCTGGCTGATATAACGGAGAAGGACATGGACGAAGGAGATTACCGCGGATAGCGAAGCGGCACATAAAAATTTAAGCTCTCGAAATGAAATTTTAATTAAATCGCCGACTTAAAGTCGCATTTCCATGCATGCAAATCACCGGATAATTGGATTCGGAAAGATATCAAGGGGATAGGCTTGCTTCGAGGCATATATTGCAAATTCGGAATATTTTTGGGCGGTACATGGGAGATGAAAAATATTTGCAAACGTTGGGATCATTGGGATACTTCGGAAAGAAATAACACGTATTGTCGATATTTTCCGGAACTTTATCCGTGGATGCAATATCCGTGCCGTGAATCGCAGTAAGGGTCTTATTTATGAGCTTAATACCCGCTGTTAATCTGAGCTAGAAGATCGCCACTAAATTAGAAAAGAAGCAAAAATGGATTTCTGGTGGAACGTTTGCGAAAGCACTTTGCGAAGTAAGTTAAGATTTCGTGCTGAAATTCATCGAGAAGACAATGCAGCCAGTTTAATATACGATAGACTGTTTCCCGAGATCCACTGTCATCACGCGAATACTTTCCTAGAATTACGGATAAAACGGCATATTTGTATTCTAGGGATTCGCAATCAAACTCGAATCTCGATCCTCCGAGAGCATCTTCCAAGTTTCATCGAAATTAATGGTAATAACGCGAAGCTTCGAGTAATATCAAAATATCGTTAAATCGTAGACAGAAATAGCGAATGCTTCCGAGAAGATCACAGCGCTAATGCAATAAATAGACGGTAAAAATTTGGTGCAAAAATTTCGGCCAAGATTTACGGAAAACACGGTGAATCTGGAAATAGAGTCAGCGCCAAAATTCATTGGATTTCCACGAGAATAGCGGGGATCAAGTGCGATTGCAATTTAACCGGTATCGGTTTGACAAAAGGTGACGGAATCACTTGATATTCCAGCGATGCTGATCAACTTAAATGCTCCTGATTGCATCGCTTGTAACGTTTAAATGGCACGAAAACAGACCTTGATAGACCACACCGTGCGGTCTCGATATCTCACTTTGATTCCAAAAATTCCTCACGCAGTGCCTCGAATTTCGCTACTCCTTTCTTCTCTTTTCTTTCCTTCCCTTTGGCAATTACGATGCGAAAAATGATGCCGCGCGATGTCACGAAACACGAATTTGGGGATACCTTAATTATCCACAATTTTTTACCACCAATATTTTACGATTTAATCATCTAATTATCTCCAGATGCCGCGACGGCTGAATATATCAGTCTATTCTATCAGTTTATTTCGTTTCGCAAGATTTCCATATTTCTAGTTTCATTTTTATACACGCAATCTCCGTGAAATGTGGCGCATCGATGTTTTCCGATCCCCCCGCAAAGTCTAATCAACGATGGTGCGCGACATCGAGGTGCTTTAATTCCTCTCGAATAATTCCCAACAGATAACTCTCGTGGAAGCTACTGTCGCGTTGAAAGCGATAAAACTAGCAGTTGTCGTGGCAAAAGTTACGGATTCGAAGCAACGAACGTGCAAGTTGGACAAGTCGATCTCGCGTGCATTAATCGCGGCGAGATTCGAGTGACTGCGTCGAAAAATCGGCAAACATCGTGCAAATATCGTTTCGTCCCTTCTTTTGTCTTTCCTTATTTCTAATAAATAAACGAAAAACTTCCTTCGATTCGGAGAGTCATCAATCGACAGTCATCGAGATTATGCATCGATACCGGTTACTGTTCTTCCGTTTAGTCATTCGTCGTCCATTACGTGGTCTATATTCCTGCCAAGCTTCCATTGGTTCGTAGAACAGGGTGAACCGTGTATTTCTTTATCGCAATTTCGGCGAACCCCTAATCGAATTAGGCTGTCCCTGTTTGCCTTTTACTCGACCAACCCATGCAAGCTGGCATAACGATCGCAGAACAAACTACGAATCCGGGCAGGGCTTCCGTTGTTACGCCGTTGAAGAGCGCGTGCCCTGAAGATGACAGTGATTACGAGGGGTTCCTGAAGATAACGCGAGGACGGGAAAAAGGGTAGAAGAATTTCGGATAATAGGTAGATGTTCTCACTGCTCGAACGAAGAATGTAAAAATGAAATGAGGCAAAATAGAGGCAAAAATGAGGTATCACCTAGCCCAGACAGTGCAATCGGATATAAATATATAATCCGAAAGAATGGACGATAGGGTGAATGAGAAGTAAGGAAACAAGGCTTACAAATCTACAAAGACCTTCACGACAGTTGGTTAAAGTGGTTTAATCCGATTATTAAAGCCCCAGCGTTCACAATCGCTTTTTCCACGCGAAGCGATGTAAAAACAGACAAAAACAAGCGATGCGTATCAATGGTTAAAATCGTTTGATTTAAATTAAAATTCCAATTCGGAATTAAAAAGTACAGATCCGAATTCAAATAGAAAAATAGCAGCGGTCGGTGGAGAGAAAATCAATGAAATGGAGAATCCGGTGAAATGGCGATGGGGACGATACGAAGAGAGGATCGATAGGATCAGCGAGCGAGGTGAAGAGACGCAAATGAACAAATCGAGTGCTAATGAATTGTTTCCCAACGCTAAACCGATATCCCTGCTTACCTTGGACCCTCTTCCTCGAAAACACCCAGCTCCGGGTGAGTCTTTTTCTCGTCGTGTAATTAAAAGTCCGCCTCTCTATCGGGATCGATCGAACGAACCTCCAATGGCGTTCGCAAACCGATAGGATCCATTTCTGCCGGCTGGATAATTCGACACTTACAAGCCGGTGTTCCCGGCGGAAAGTTGATCGACACTCTCGAACACGGTGGACCGAAATTGCGTTCGTGCCGTTGGAATTTTTCCAGCAATTTGCAGCCAGCCTATTACCCGTCGGAAAATTTCGCCGAAACGCGGAGAACGGAAGGGGGCCAGCGTGGTCCTGGCCGGGCTCGGATCAACGGATCGCTCGTGAACGCGTCGCGATCGCGACTAACGAAACCTCAAGATCGAACGCGAAAATTAGCGCGATTTCGTTTCTAGCCGAACACGGCTGCCAATCGTTTCGTCGTGGACGCTGAAGAACTTGAAATTTTGCAGGTGTGTGCGCCACGAACGTTGCGTCTGTTCGTTCGGCGTGTCACTTACCGTGGCAATTCTAATTGAATCCCAAGTGGATCCGCAAACGTAACAACGAACACGCGACCGATCATGCCGCGTAGTCTCGCATTACCGGACGTTTCTAGAAATTCCGTGCGCGTCTAATCCGCAGGTGACCATTGGCGACGACGTCGAAAGAGGAACAATGGTGGACGGGGAATAGAAAATAAATAACGCTTGTTTCACGAGCGTTGCATCGGGCTCCGTATTGATTGAACGCGAGACCACGTCGAAGCGCAACAGATGCATTTCTCCGGACAATCTTTGCCTCCGACCATCCACGTGAAATTTCTTCCGCGATCTCCACTCACGAGGAACATCCATCCGTCAACTTTTGTCCTTCGCAAAGGGTTGTATCTCGTTACACGCTTGCACAAACGTTGCACGAGGATTCGCGATGAGGTAATCAAGTTGATCGAGCCACCGGCTAATTCAGTCATAATTTGGCCGGGATTCAACGTGATTGCTATCCATGGAATTTCTAATTATCCTCGATTCCATTGTTACATCGTCGAATTGACAGCAACGAGTCGACGTTTCTGACCGATCAATTTGTCGAACGCGAAGAATGGCTGGAATGTCGGCAGATGGAGAAGAAAGATCGGTCCAAGTCGATTAGAGAAAGAGACGAAAGATGATTTCGGCTTGGAGCTTTCGATTTCGTTTCGAAAAAGGGGTGGCTCGAAGAGGTGCACCCTCCGGAGCGGGAGTGTCAGGCGAAAGAGGAGAAAGAGAAGACAAAACGTGCATCGTGTTTTGCGACTGCGTCGAGGGAGCGTGGATCCTCCGCGGATCCAAGTTTCGCTTCAGTTTACGGCGCGCTGTCGATTTCGCCGAATTGATATCTCGTTTCCACAGTGGTGAACATAGTATACATCGGTGCGTTTTGTCTTTCCGACAACGAATGTTTGCTTCTCGTGAATATTCCGCGGGTACACCGGCAATCGTCGCGATGATGCATCGAAATGTCAAAGAAATTCGAGCGAGCGCATCTTCTCTCGTCGCGAATCTCTAATACGCTTGTCCTGGGTGTATTCCTCGAAACTTCTTCGCTTTGGTGCTCGACGTGGAAACGCATTCGAATCTTTCCACGCTAATTTTCACGCTAATTTTCTCTCCGATCCGACAGGTTTGTCAAGGTTCGTGGGTTGTTTAAGACTAGGGAGGACGGGAAAAACGGGGAAGTCTCGAGTGAATAGCGCGTAAGTGTGCATCGTAAATAGGCGCAGGATAAAGTCACGTTAAAACGAGAAATTAAACGCGTGTCAACACGGCGAATTTGAGCAGACCAGTTAAGAAGACCAAACTCCGCGACCTGCAATGGTGGAAAGAGGATGGCAGCGTGAAAGGTAAATCATTTACGAAGTCTCTGGTGAATCGAGTTACCGGTAAACAGCTCCCATCGAGTTTACTCTGTTCGATGTCATTTCACGAGTTAACTATACACAGCGAGCGTTCGCAAATTCTAATAGCATTGAGAGTGACGGCAGACGCGTTTAAAAACTTGAAATTCAGGAAAGAATTCCAAACTTGCTTTTTCAATCTTGCTATCGTAGCAATTGTCCAGGCAATTATCGAACGATGATTATAGAAAGAAATTGAAACGTTAAAAAATTGGAAGGAAATAAAAGGATTAATCCCGAGTGGGTAATTTTAGATGAAAGGTCGCGTCGTTCGTTGAACAACCGAATATTCCGTTGATCTGGGAACATGACTCTCTGAAAAGCACGTGAGAAAGAAGAACTTGGCGGTTGAGAATAAAAATAGAGTGCGTCATAGGTGCGCGGGCAGGGCGAGAAGTGGCGAATAATTGATAGGAAAATATTTCTCCTTCGGCAAGGGTGTTGCAGCACGCGGACCCATCGCCGGACCTACAAGTGGTTTTCTAATTTTAAACGTTAATGCTTCCGATCCGGCAACGCGTGATCACGATACTGTTAACGCCGCCTTAAATTAACATCGCGTTCATTTGCTAGGGGCATCTGTTTCCACGAGCAATTCGCGTTGAATTAACATCGGACTATATACATCCGAGTAAACCACTGTCTCTTTGCCCCTGCGTCACGCTTTCCTGGCCAAGCCTTCGTCGATAAATTCTCCATCGAACGTGGTATTTCCATCTTCCACGAAGGATCAGACGTAATTTTGGCGAATAATACCCCGGAAGTTTCATTTCGAGCAGCCTAAAGTCGTTTCGTTGTATATGAAACAGGCTCGGGAAATTCGCGCGGATGAGGATGGTTGGGATCTTATTTTTAGTCGAAGAGGAACAAAGTGAAAGATAAAACGGTGAGATAGAACGTGGCGAGAAGAGAATATCGGGAAGCGAGGAAAAATTTTGTAAAATATTCGGGAACATTCTTTGACTCGACGACGACAGCTGAAGACGAAACGTATTTATGATGGGAAGGGAGGAATGGAAACGGAAATAGTGAATATATGGAATATATTGAAAAGTGGATCGTGGTAAAAGTTTCTACTTGTCCTCTTGAACGAGAGTTTGAGCGGAGTTCAGCGAGTTGCAGCGAGTTGCAGCGAGTTGTAGCGAGTTTTGCGTCAAAGAATGTTGAATTTACGATGTAAATGCGCAGAAATCCACGTCGGTAAGCACTGTTGATTCTAGTTCACCAACCGTTCCTAAAGAAATTAGAGTAAATTGGAAAATTTCTGCCTTCTTCTCGCTAGCATCTATGTCCATTTCGATCCACACCCGCTCGATTATTCATAACGCGATTTCACATCTATATCGCGGATGCTATACAATGAGCGATGGCAAACGGCCAATCGATAGCTGGGAAATTAACTCGGGAGAAAATTTCCTCGTTATTCGAATTTAAGCTCGCTCCTTCTAAAGGAGAAATATTAAATACCACGGTAGCTCGAGAGGGAGGAGGAAATGGAGGGAAGGAGGGACCAAGACGACAGATTGTATCGAGAAGTAATATATTCCGTGATCGTCAGTCGGGTGTACTCGACTTGCACGACATGTCGAGCAAGTTTGTCATAGTGACTTAAGTCCTCCGCAACTGCTACCGCTGGCACTTATCGTCCGCCATTTGCATTCGGCTCGGAAAAGTTCTCGGCCGAGAAACAAACCAGATAAATCCGCTGTCGAACGTGGGAATGGAAACTGAGAATTTTCCAAAATTTTCAACAACTCTCACCGGATCTATTTATCCTGGAATTTCGCGCGATGTCTCGATAAGTAATCGAAATGCTTCATCGAACCGAACGGGATATTCGTGATAAATGAAACGGATCTGTCAGACGAGCAAATATCGACGGATATTTTGAATATATGGAGACACGGTTCTCTCTCTGGATTTTGCGGCTGGCAAAACTGGAGTGTCAAACGAGTACATAATGAAATAATAGCGAGGCTCTTTAATTAAGACGCTTCGTGACTGAAACCCTGTCCCCTAGGCGTACATTTTCGATAATTCGCAATTTAGTGCACGGATCGAACACGGCTATTTATTGGAACGGTTCTTGTCATCGTAATCGTCGGAGAAACTTTATTGTATCAATTTCCTCGTTTAAACTGTTTTTCTCATTGCCGCTTGCACACAGGTGGCAGAAAAGTGCTCATGCAGCAGTATAACTAAACGAAACGATATTAACTGGATGAAGAAATCCTCGAACCTTCCTACGTTTCGAAAATTATCCTAAATTTCTTCCTCAATTGTTACGTCCAATCATCAACAAACGGACTTCATCGCGGAAATATTCCGCGTGAAATTGCGTCACGCGAGGAAGCTATACCCCGTAATATGAAAAGCTCCAGCGAATCAAGGATGCGGAGGAAATTCATAAAAAAACTTGCCGAAATTTTATGAGGTCTCTGCCAAATTTCCCAGCTTCTTCGCTCTCTCCGTGTCGATGAAGAAGCTTCCTCTACTTATGACAGGAAAGTTGTTCTCTCTTCGAGAACAAAGTAACAACATCTGTTCCGTTCCCAACTACCTGTACGAGGTATTAGAGAAGGGCAAGCTAGAAAGGAATCGTGACATGTCAAGAAAGGAATCTCATTCGTTAACCTTAAAGGCACGTACACGAAAAGTAGCATTTACTGGAAAATGCTTAGACACTTGGCAACTATTTACCAAAAATGAAACTTGACACACATGCAACTGTTCTACCATTTTACGACGTTTGACAGGGCCACTGAAAGTCACGAAGGTGTCACGATCGTCGTCGAATTAGATCGAAATATGAAAAGCTCCAGCGAATCAAGAATGCAGAGGAAATTCGTAAGAAACTCGCCGAAATTCTATAAATTCTCTACCAAATTTCCTAGCTTCTTCGCGCTCTCCGTGCCGATGAAGAAGCTTTCCCTGCTTATGACAGGAAAGTTGTTCTCCCATCGAGAACGAAGTAGCAACACGGAACATCTGTTCCATTCCCAACTTGCTGTCCGAGGTATCGAGAATAACAAGCTCGAAAGGCATCGTGACAGGTCAAGAAAGGAATGGCATTTCTTACCCTTAAACATAGGTACACGAAAAGTAGCATTTACTGGAAAATGTTGAAATTCTTGGCAACTAATATCCGAAAATGAAACTTGACACACATGTTACTGTTCTACCGTTCTACGACGTTTGACAGGGCCACTGGAAGTTACAAAACTCTCACGATCGTCGTCAAATATCGCGAAAAAGGAACACGCTTTTGGAGTACTCTCAGGAATTCGACGACTCCAACGAGTCCTTGTCACTCGTTGAAAATTCACACCACGCGTAGTGCTTATTTATCATGGCCAATGCGATTAATGCGAAACAGAGGATCGCGAGACCACCGAAATTCGTGACGCTGAATCGGAAGGGAAAATCGATTGTGTCTGGAAGCTCTGCTAAATTGAAATAATTCCCCACGGAGAGTGGGGAAAAACGAAGATAGTCGCTTCGCGCGTCTTAATTATCCTGATCGACCGAGTGTAACATCTTCGTGGACGTCGCTGGTTAATTATCGAGTTCAGAGGGAGCTTAACTCGACGACGGTAAACAAACGTTTCGAGAAGTGAATGGAGAAAATCGAGTTGTCTTAATCGCGTTCATTAAGCGAATCAGGACGATCGTCTGGCTGGAAGGTAACTGGTTACCTGCGCGTTGCTCGAAAATCAGTGAGCCTCTATGGATTTTCGTTCTTGTTCCATCTGTCTTGTCCTGTTCTGTCCGACGGTGGATCCGTATTTCCTCAGTGACGGATTACGGCTGCTCGTAGACAAAGTTACGGGCTGCTCGATAGCTGCATTAGCTTTGCAACTTGCGGAATAATCCAGTCGAAAAAGACGTGTTCCACGTGGATGCACAGAAAGCACAAAACGTCGAGGAGACGGCAATCTCCATTCCGTGAATTATTCCGTCTCTCTTTACCGCCGTGCCGGCGAAATAAGGTCCAAGAGACCGTATTCTCGACCGCGTTGTTTGATCATGGTACACCGTGTCTCGGAAAATTAACGGTCCACCGAACATACCTGTCGGGACTTCAGCGGAAAATGTAGAGCTCGGTAGCGCGAACCGGTTGCACTAAACTGCGAGTAAAAAGCTGATTTCATTTGGAAGCTAAGAGACACGACATCCGATATAAGTTGAATTAATTTTAATGACTAGCTGCGAACGAATCCGCGAGGAATCTCGAAGCGGATGCAAATGTAGCCCCGATAATTAACAACGAGCTAACAGGCGCGTTGTTGCGCTAAATGGCTGCCATAAAGTAACTACCGGTAGTTTGCATTCGACGTATGCATTAACCAATGGTCGGTGGTTTAATCTCCTAATGTCTTGCTGCCGTAAGAGGTTAAAATTAAATTGATTCGGAGTTTATGACCAAGCAAATGTTTCGACTCGCTGGAATTTCGCTTCGATAACGCTCCATCAACGACGAGGAAACACCCACGGAGCTTGTTTAAAATGGGAGAAGCATGAGTACACGACCGAGCATCGAATCCACGACGAGGCAGAGATCTATCAGGGACGGGAGGAAAACATCGAAGGCATTACGACGCTACTAAAAGGTGGAAGCAGGAAGAAACGGTCACGTCCACGGAAACGGTCTCGTGTGAATTGAGCTGGCAAAGTGGCCGTTAAAGGTGAGAAACGTGTGTCTCGAAGCTCGAAACGAGAAACCAAGCGCGACAGCTAATTACCGTGGCTCGAGGTGGATGGAATTAAAATTGAATCGGAACCGAGGGCAGCTGCGAAGTTTCTAAGTAATCGGGAAAACAATTCCGTGAACTTGTCTCGGTGAAAACAACAGTGATCTTGCCGGGAGTCTAGATTAAAATGGTAATAGTTGCGCGACGAGGAAGACGGGGCTAATCGACCGGGCTGAAGAAACGCGCGAAAGTTGG